ATGTTTTGACCTGGAATACATACCAAAAACGCGTACATACAGTTGCAACATGCATTATCCGTAAACATATTTATGAATATATTTTACTCAAAAAATAAACTATTTATAAATTTAACAAATTTTAAGACAATTCAGTGAGTTTTATTACGACGATAAATAATTAATGTGGAGTTGACTTGAAGTAGTGGAACAGTTGAGTACGAAGCTTATTTACATTATTGTCAAAGACATCAATGTCCTTACCTGACTCCGTCAGAACCATATCATTATAAGAGTGACACATTAGTGTTAAATTATTGTAAAATGAAGTGTTGTTCTTATAAACGTTTAATATAAACGTATTAAGACGACGCCTGGGATTTGACTTAATATTAAAATTGATTTGGGATAAAAGATTTGGGGAAACAATTTTGCAGTGTATTAGTTTATGTAAGCAAAGAATATCTTGTACAGCATGTCTATTACGCAGTGATGAAACTCCAAATGTAAGTAGTCTCTCCTGATAAGACGGTAGCTTGCGACTTATTTTCAGCCTACAACAATATTAAGACCTTTGTTTTGGATCTGCTCTAGACGCTTGGATTGCACTTCGTAAAATGGAGACCATACAACAGAACCAAACTCAAGGGTAATTTTTATCAAAGCATAGAAGAGATGTATAAAATGTGGATGGTTTTTTAAAACGTTTTGTGGTTCTGGTAATAAAACCAAATGTTTTGTATGACTTAGAAATAATGTGATCATAATGATTTCTGAAAGTAAGTTTTTCATCAAAGTAAACCCCTAAGTCTTTTGCAACTGAGTTTCGCTTAAGGTAGTCAGGTTCGCTTAAGTATAAACTGTACCAATCCTGTGATGATGATTGATGACGATATAATTACAATAATCCATGTATATTGATATCTTTAGCCAAATTATTTCATCGAAAAGCTTCATTACCCTAAGGATTATTGCGGATCGCTTACTTAAAAATCTGAGTTAGAATTCTTTGTTTAACGACTGATCTACTCCTCCCTCAAAGATTCACAACGAACTTGCGATTTCTTTTATATTAAAGTACGTCCAATAATAAATTGGCCTAACTATGAACCAATGAAGGAAATGAAACGAAACCAATTTTATTTTTCAATATAATCACCATGAATACTAACACACTTCTGACATCTGTGAATCAACATCTCTAAACCTTTATAAAAATAATCACATTTTTTTATCCTCAAAATGACTGAAGACGGCCGCCTGCAACTCTTCATCGCTTGAAAATTTTCTTCCTCTTAAGTCCCGCTTTAAATTTGGAAATAAATAATAGTCGGACGGGGCCATGTCTGGAGGTGGATGTTGAACTTCTGTGAACGCGCATTGACGAACTGCATCCTTCGAAACACCAGCGGTATGAACAGGGGCGTTGTCATGGAGCAACAGGACACCTTTAGACAGCTTGCCTCTTCGTTTTTCCCTTATCTTGTCTCGTAATTCATATATTAAAGAAGCATAATATTCGCCGTTCACGACCGTATTACGTTCTTTAAAATCCACCATCAAAATGCCTTGAAAATCCCAAAATATTGTGCACATCAGTTTTTTAGTCGATTGTTGCACCTTTGCCTTTCTAGGGGGCTTTTCACTCTTATAACGCCATTCCATTGACTCGCGCTTGTTTTGTGGATCATAATACAAGATCATAGTTTCATCACCAGTCACTAGCCGCTCGATCACAGTCTTTGGATTTTCGCCACAAAGATCCAAAAACTCCGAAGCGCAGCGCACTCTTTCCTGTCTCTGTACCGCTGAAAGAAGTTTCGGTACCCATCTTGCACTCACTTTTTTTCATGTGAAGATGTTCATGGATCGCGCGATGAACGGTACTCTTAGAGAGCCCAAACCTTGCTGCAATTTCTCTAATCTTCAAACGGCGGTCACTCAGAACCTCCTCTTCGATAAGAGCAATCGTTTCGGGAGTGAGCACTTCCACAGGTCGACCGTCGTGGCCAAAGTCTTCGACGGTTTCTTTCCCGAGGCGAAACTCTTTCACCCAATTTTTTACTGTGCTATAGGAGGGGGCAGACTCCTTATACACGCCATCCAATCGTTCTTTTATTTGGGCAGGGGATAAACCTTCTTTAAACAGAAACTTTAGACACTTCGATACTCAGTTTTCGACATTTTGAAAAAATACGCGACTCTCGTTATTCAAATGCCTGTTAAACTAAGACTAAGCATTTCATGTCGATGCATGTTTCTTATATTAAGTGCACGATAAACGTACTATTTAATGCAACACAATATGTAGTGACATGTCGCGTTGAACTATACCAGGCCAGTTCATTATGGGACCGCCTGGTAGTTAATGGCTATCAGCGGCCTCAACTACTGACCATTGTCTATAAAAAATATGAGTATTAAATATATGTAACTCCATGGTCTATTAAATTTCTAAAACACTAAGACAAAATAATGTAAAACATATACAATAATATTCTCAAAAAGGTGAATTAGGGTAAATACAGAAGTAAATATAATCCAGTGCAATAAAAAAAGTTAATTCAGTGTGTTTCAAAGAATTTTGTGTCGTTTTGCCATTGTTATAGAACCGAGATGTGGTCTTTCGCTGTCGGGTGTATGATGAAGCTGTTTAGATATCCCTACTGGAACAAAGGTAAACGACACAGCTCAAGGGATGGATAAGCTAAAACGGCAATTATCCCAGCATATAACTCGAGGAACCGAAAACGATGGAGGATAAAGTTGCAACATCTTACGGGTAAGATGAGTATAGCCCTCCACGAGATTACACTTTGATGTAGCGGTAGTTCCAAGACCTAGCTTACGTGACTTAGGATCAACAAAGTAAAATAAGTCTTCTTAGGTGAGGTTTAGCAGAGAAACTATGAGGGTTTTTAATAATGATGATGCTAAAAACAACAATAATATTTTTCGTATTGAGTTGTTAACAATTTTCGTTTCCGAATGCACACATATCCACTAAATAGGGTCTAATTTTTTTAATAGCTTAGGAGATAAGTTGAATACACCAGAATCTGTCAATATAGTTTTCTACCCCCCACCCCTCTGTGGCTTACGCTGTAGCTTTATTATGCCTAATTATAAGAGTAGGTCGCCTTGATGGAAGTACCACACTCTCTCCAAATATCAGTCCAAAAATAAAATTACTGTAAAATACTTTTGTATTTCATATAGTGCGTATAGTGTAATTATTATTATTATGTGGTATTAGGGCGGATTCGACCAAATTCAATGTTACTCCAGAGTAACTAACCCTCGAATAAATTTACTCTCTCGGATAATTTAGTTTGCGTTTTTCCAACACAAACCGAGAGTAGCCAATACTGGGTATTGTTACTCTAGAGTTGGGGAATGAAAAATGAATGAACTTGTAAGCCAACTAAAATCGAAATACATTTGTTTATATAGCGCAATGCAAGACTTTCTGTCTATTTAAAGTTTGCCGGATTATAATAGTGTCAACTGTCACTGTCACTGAACAAACATTAAAATATTAACACGCGACTTGTCAGTTGATTATTCTAACCTTACCCTTATTTCTTATATTTTCAAATAAAATGTCTGGAGAAAAAAGAAAACGTAGCCCAAATTGGTTACCTTCGGAAAAGATCGAAAATAAAAAACAGATGGTGTTACGATGAAGCAAAAATTTGCCGAATGGCAAATTTTATCCCACGAATACAATAGTCAAACGACACACTGCTCGCGTACAGCAGAAAATTTAAAAAATGAGTGGGAGTATATGAAAAAAAATGCCCAAAAATGAGGAGTCATACAGGAGGATGCATAGAATCCAAACAGGTTAGTTTTTATCCTGCCTTACCTTATCAATGTTTGTGTTGATCCAGTTATTTAGGGTAAAAACCTATAAATCTTTGGTATACATTAGAAATATGGACAGGAGTAACTATGAGCTTATAACTGGAGGAGAAGCGGACTGAGATATGCTTACATACATTTATACAGTGTTAGCCACTACTGGGAATATGTTTATCCCAAAGATCTTTAGGTGTTCAGTGTACCATTATTATTAAGCACTTGAGAGTACAATGCTGTAGTCTGATTAAGTGATATATTTCCTTCGTCTCCTACATAATGGGATTATTATTTATATTACAAATATTTTGAAAATGTGAGAAATGACATACTTTAAATACTTTTACTTTAATAATTTTGGTAGTGTATTCTCATCTGGTTAGGCTGAATAAATATGTAAAAGGAAATGATACATATACATAAATATACATTTCATATACCAGCACAAATAAATAAGTAATACATAAATAAATAAAAGCCCAACCAGATGAAGGCCCTCGGCAGGGGAGATCAAACAGCCGAGGGTTAGCGGGAAAGGGATAGAAACCGGCGGATGATGCGGGCGGTATCGAGGAGCACCACCTTCTGCATTTGAGCCTGGAGCGGTTCGTCACGGAGTCCCAGCCTCCTCAGATGACCCGAGAGGCTGACTGGGATTAGCCCGTTTGCAGAAACGACTACAGGAATAATTTCAGTCGGCAGACCACCCCACATGTCGGTCACCTCGTGAGCCAGGTCCAGATATTTTGTTCGCTTATCTGTTTTGGCTTTCACGAGGTTCTCGTCATACGGAATGGTAATGTCGACCAAAAATATCCTTGACTGTGCCCGGTCCATCAGCACAATATCAGGCTTATTCGCAAGAATAGTCCTGTCTGTGATGATGGCCCGGTCCTAGTAGAGCCTGGCGCGATCATTTTCGAGCACGGCTTCCGGCAAGTACTTATTATACGGCAATTTCCGGTCCACGACACCGTATTTCAGAGCGAGCTCCTGGTGAAGAATTCTGGCTACTAGGTTGTGCCTGTGCGTCAATGAGAAGTGGTTCCTTGGTTCCACGACCACTGCCTCGACATCCATTTTGAGCGCGTGACATCACCTGATTTGAGTGCAGGTGACGAGTGATTCTCGCGCTCAAAATGGATATTAGTGTCTTGTATATGGTCGGTAGACACGTGATGGTATTTGCTCGGATCTGTGGTATCCTGGTCTTTAGGAACCAAATGAGTGATCCCAGTAGTGAAGAGGCTCGGGAGCAACTGCTGGTTGAGAGCTTCTTGGAACTGTCGGGCGAGCAAAGTGTGACACACCACAAACCCCTTCAGCCAGTAGTGATGCAGCCCGTCGAGTCCCGGACTTCCGCGCTGGCAGTCTGCCGTACCATAGGCGCCAAGGTTTCCACGGCTGGACGCGCTACTGGCCAAAGTAGCGCTGTCCCAGCATGGAGAAAAAGAATTGAGGAGCGTATCGCAAAGGCTAGAGCTCTCATCGGCGGACTGATATGCTTCAGATCAGGCAATAACAGGCCAAGAATTGTGCGCACCGTCAGGATAGCATTTGCTGGGACAAATGTCAGTTTGTCCCAGCCCAAAAAGCCAAGGCCAGTCCAGCTCAAAAAGAATTGAGTTCGTATCGCAAAGCTCCCGGCTGGCTTCCAAATAGGTCACCAGCATTGGGCTCTGAAGCCCTCACGACAGCCCGATTCCGCTTGCTTAGGGCTATGCGGGGAAGTCGCGGTCGATTTTCGAGAGGCGTACTGCGCGTTTCCATAATCGCCTCTTCCAATGTACTCCTCATTTGCTCTATTTCTAGTTCCTGGGCATGGGAATGTTCCATCCTCATTTGAATCAGCCACCACTGGTGTATTCACGGCGATATCCACGTGTGCGGGTTGTTCTGCAACTTGTCGCACTGCATCTTCAGCCGTAGCATTTTAATTTGATGAGGGAACAGCCTCACGTCGTAGCCGTTCGAGTTCGGCGTCATCAAATATATTTGAGCGCAAGATATACCGAACTCGGTCTGCCAGGTTTTGCTTGGTGACGGTTACAGATGGCTCCAGCTCAGCAAAAAGTCGATGCATCCTTGCCCGATACGCAAAACCTCCAATTTCTCCCCCCTATCGCCCTATAATACTCCCGCAATGCGTTGCTATTCATTGAGAGTGTCCAATGCATGCGGCGTATTCCATCAGTGGCGGGTGCCGATTGCTGGGCCCGCGAAGACCCTGCCGTCACCAAGCCTGCTGGTGGGGATGATGGATGCGAAGGGCTACTAGGTGATCGAGCAAAACCTCGCACTCGGCTGGCGGTTCGCATGCTGTCACGTCCAGCGCCAGCTCCATACGCACCCCGGCGACTCCCAGGCAGCGGCCCTTTGCGAGTTCTATCAAATTCCATCATCCATTTTAATGGGCATCATTCAACGGGAGACGCCCAGACCCGGCGCCGTTTACATGGTGAGACCATGTGCACAAGCGGGCCTTTGCACCTTCGACTTGTGCCGAGGCGTGGCACTAACACCTCTTGGCAAGGTGCTGACTGACTGCGCTCATGTAGTGGTTTTGTCACGTAACCGTTACGTCAGCGGGCGATGGGGTTGTCACTTCCCTACGCCTATATTATTATTATTATTAGTTTGTATAGAGAACCGGAGATCATTTTCTCTGGTAACGAGGCATTCCATCTTATTCCTGATGGGTGATAAGGCATCAGCACTTTTATTCTTAAACGATGATAAATATAGGACCTTGTAATAGCTTAGGATTACAATATCCACTTACACTAGGTGAACTGTGTGCTCATTTGTCACCCTTGATATATAATCCACTGTTTCCAAACAAATTTCATCGTCTAAAGAAGCTTATTAAGCTTGTAAATTGACATAAATTTAACTTATGCTAACATAGTTACGACCACTAAGTTCAACTTGCAGGAAGTAAATTTGAACATATCAGCAACAACGTGTGCATTTAAAACAATTTTCACTTTGAGGAATTTTAGTTTAATATATTTTAGTTTATGGGTTTTTCAAGAACTAAGGGTGACAAACGAGCACACAATCTACCAGACGGTCCTATGCTTGATATCAATGCAATTGCTTTAATACTGTTGAGGAATAAATCGAAACGTCTTTTTACAAGTAAGCAGCATTATGTTGTGTTGTATGATATTATTGTATGCTTGTATTTTGTATGAATCTGTTATTTCACTAATCGATAGTGTTGCAGCTTTAGTGCTCTGCAGCGCGGCTCTGAAGGAAATGTTAAAAAAATGTAAATTTAAATCACTTTTAAATCACTTTCCATTCAACATTATCTACAGATTGTGAAAGTCTATAGATTGACTCATAAGATGATTGTGACTTTGACATAGTTACGTTGGTAGTTTTAGTTTTATTTTTTTATTTTGAGCTGTTATTAGGAAGATGATGCTGTCTATCTCTTGTATCAGTCTCCATCTGCCACCTCTTACGATACCCACGGGATTTTCTTACACCTTTACTACACAGGGTAATTAAATAACGTTTTTCAAATATAATAGTATTTAAATACTGCACTGTATCTATTGATTAACTTGTAAACGAAAGTGAATTTAAGTTTACTTGTATTGAGTGGCTCTGAGCAGCAAGGTCGTGTTACTTTTTTATAGTATATGGTGACAAAGGAGCACACCGTCCACCTGATGGTAAGTGGTTGCTGTGGCCCATAGACACCTACATGTATCCTCGATTACGAAACAAAATGCAGATGCGTTATCACCCGTGAGGAGTAAGCTGGAATGCCACATTTCCAGTAAAAATGGTCTCTGGTTCTCTACACTCACCATACAAAACGCAGCAGTATTAAGCTACTATTTTACGTTGATATTCTGTGAGAGCGTGGTCCTTTCCCGGTCGAGCCGACCCATTCGTGCTACAACTATACTACTAATATAACTGCAGCATGGCTCTACTACGTTTTAAATTGTTGAATCTGGGCCTTACCTATAGCGTGATCATTTATATTTATTATATGTATAGTTAGGGATCTTCTTGAAAATTACGTACGTTACATTTTTTTAGTTTTCTTTTTACAACCAGACACGAGGTAAAGCGACACTTAAAATTGATTTTTAACATGTTTTAATAATTTAAATTTTATTAGTATTAAATTTGAATAAGAGTCGTCGTCGCAAGAAAAGTATGGAATTGCCAGCGAATGTCGATTTCAACCGATGACTTGACTACGTTGCAACTAAGGCACTTCTTTTGTGGCAAAGGATCTTCTTTAAACTCTACAGCACGCAAGCGACCCAGATACGATCTCCGCCCGTACCAATGAAATTGACAATTAATTTTTTTTAAATTTAAATGCTGATTTACTCCTGTTGCTCGGTGGTGATTGTAAGCATCGTGTAAAACCCTGCATGTTTAAGAAATTAAAAAAAAATGCATTTAGAAGAAGTATCAAGTCCGTCAACACTCATTGGGGCAAAGCAGTGGACACTTTTAAACGTGGTAGATCCATGCTGCAGCTGTGTTATGGTTGTAGCACGATTGGGTCTACTCGTCTGGGCTAGGACCACACCTCCGGTCTCACATAATATTAGCTTAAAATAGCAGCTTCATGCTGCTGTGTTTCGTATGGTGAGTGTAGAGAACCGGAGACCTTTTTACTAGAAACGAGGCATTCCATCTTAGTCTTCAAGCGCGAGAACGCATGTGCATTTTGAATCTTGTCGATGATAAATGCAGATATCTATGGGCCTGAGCATCCACTTACCATCAGTGGACTGTTTGTTCGTTTGTCACTCTTATTCTTAAAAAAAAGCTTGAGTAGGACGCATATAAGTTCTAACTTTTACTCAACAACGCATTTGTAGACTTCTTTATTTAAAATTGGTTACAGATGTCCAGGAACTGCAGTAGCCACTTATTGTCAAGTCGACTGTGAGTTTTTTTAAACTCCTAGGCTAACTTCCCGGTGGCAGAAGTTCCAGAAGTATGTGACAGCGTTATTGTTGCTTTACTTCTTTATATAATTACAATAAAGTACAATAAAGGTACAGGAAACCTATACAGTAAGTAATGTGATTTCAAAATTGTCATTAAAATGAATCAGAATACTTGAAACTTCCCAAAGGGGCTAGGATGTAAGAAATTGCTTACGTCACTCGCCAACGCCTGTACGTTTCTTCACTCCTACAAAGCGGAATTCAATTTTAGAAGCTTTTCCGTCTTTTCTAGGCGCGTTCATTGCAATTGGTGTATTCTATAATGTCTTTTATATCAGCGTCTCGTGCGAAGCAGTCAAATAAGTTCTGTAACCTGGAAGTCGTCAACTTTATAGAAAGAAAATTATTTCTAGATTAATAAATTCTCGCTTGAAGTTTTATCGTTATGTGCTTAGATAGCAAACTATCTGAATATGGAACGAACTGCACGCTTCACAAAATTGTTTTTCTTGAGAGCTCTTGTTTCGATGGCGGCGACTAGTAGCGGATACAGGTTCTTTACATAAATCACTTCATTTTTATCTTTTTTTATTTAAAATAATAAACATAAGCTCTTTCAGGTCATATGATTACTAAAAAGTTTAAGTTATAAAATTAATAATAAAATAAATTTCTAAATTTAAAGTTGTAAACATCCCACAGCGGGGCTCTGGTCTCCTCCTATTTCTGAGAGTTATGGAGAGTTTCAGCATCTTTTACCAGGTTGCCACTCCTTCTATTGAGGGGTCGCCAAAATTTTGCTAACGAGGTTTCCACTCGAAAAGAGTCGGTTCATCGAGCTATATATGTTCGGCCTATTGCCACTTCAAATTATTATATCGGTTACTCTGATTCTACTGCGGATGTCCTCATTTCTGAGTGTGACCGCAAGGAGAAACTCTGAGCATAGCCCTCTCAATAGAACGCTTTGCAATCTTGAACTTCCACATTGGGCCAGCAGTGAATGACTATAGGTGGCTCAACCGTGCTTTGTGGTAATCTTTGGGGGAGGTATATGTTCAGTAGTGGACGCGATGCTGCTCCAATGCGTGTTGGAAGACTTCACGTGACTTCGAAGTATAATATATCACAGCTATGCAAGTTTTCTATATTATTGGTCACAGTAGCGCTTGAACCAAATTAATTCGCGAACTGTGAAATATATCGCAAGCTCTTTACTAGTATATATTGTTAAGGAATATTATTCCTAAAAATGATATCCTTGAAGAAAAACTTACGGTCGTACAAGCAAAACTTTAAAGTTCGAAAGTGATATTTATTGATTTCAGTTTCGAAGCAATTAAATATTAATTGTTTCTTACTTTAAAGGTAAATCGATAAGACATGGTGAGATTCAAACACAATTTCAAACTAATGAAAATTATATTTAACTCACTTAAAGTACGCCTACTGGAAACAAAATTATTTTACAAAGTGAGCTTTGAGTACACAAAGTATATTATGATTTAATTTATTATCGTTTTATAATTTTCAAGTTGTTTTATCGACTTCAGAATTGAAGTTTGACGGTATTTTTAAACACAGAATAACCGATTTTGTAGATTTTTTTTAACCGAGTTTAAAAAGACGAGAAATTTATAATTTTTTATGTATATTAAAATAATACTAGTTTTTACGGAATTTATCGCGTA